ACTGATAAAAATCATAAAGAATCTTTCTGCAGAGTATGTATGCAAATTTATGCTTTTTAAGGCAAAACACTACTGGCAAAACCATTGTTATTTCATGCACTGGTCAATTTTAAGGCCATTCTGCTTTCATAACATGTCTTCTTTCAGACTAATGGAAAGAAAACATCCAAAATACACATATTAGTGTTTATTTTACTACACTTTACCTATTTGAGTCAGAAATCTCCCCTTCAGCAGCACTTACATACACCTTTCCAGTTTAATTCCTATCTATATTCTGAAGCTTTCTATATAGAGGTTTGTTTATATATCAATCACATGATTTATATAACATTTTATTCCTAACAACATTTTTCTGGCTGTTGACAGTATTTTCTGATTTATGGAGTGATTTGTGACTTTGGACCACAAAACCAGCCATAAGGGTCAATTTTTCGAAATTGAGATGTATACATCACCTGAAAGCTGAATAAATAAAGTATACATCATCTGAAAGCTGAATAAATAAACTTTCCATTGATGTGTGGTTTGTTAGGACAGGACAATATTTGGCTGAGATACAACTATTTGAAAATCTGGAATCTGAGGGTGCAAAAAAATCTAAATATTGAGAAAATCGCCTTTAAAATTGTCCAAATGAAGTTCTTAGCAATGCATATTACTAATAAAAAATTTAGTTTTAATATATTTACAGTAGGAAATTTACAAAATGTCTTCATGGAACATGATCTTTACTTATCCTAATGATTTTTGGCATAAAAGAAAAATCAATCATTCTGACCCATACAATGTATTGTTGGCTATTGCTACAAATATACCCCAGCGACTTAACACTGCTTTTGTGCTGCAGGGTCACATTTAAACACCCTAGTAAAAACCTTTAACTCTAACAAGTCAAAACTGGAATTTTGAACATGGCTTAAATGTTCTGATTTATGATCTGGAAATGCAAATTAGCACATATTTAATTAGATAACGCCTCATTTGCATATCTAAAAACCTATAATACTTCTAAAACAATAAAAAAATCTTAACATACTATGATTAACCAGCTGGTGGAAGTATGGCGATATCTATCGGTTAACATTTTTGCCTTAAATCAGTGCCTTTGGTAATCCTGAACAGTTTTAGAATATTAAATACCTAAATATATATCGATAACATCACTAAAATGACATTTCAAACGTGCAGTTTCTATGATTATCAGCCTCTAAAACACATATTGGTCAACTACTACAGATATAAGCGTAAATTGACCTACAAAATCTAAAACACCTACTTTTGTTGGAGTTCCTCTTGACAGGATCCGCCAGCACTTCTTTTCTTATGTTTGTGATCAGCTGCGCCAGCTTCCCCGTGCTGCAATACTGAACTTCATCATCACAGATGTAACACCTGCAGCACACAGAGGTCTGAATACACAAACCTGACAGATTTCAGTGAGGAGGTGGATGTGTGTGACTTACCAGACGCTCCAGACGTCCAGACTGAGCACTAGACAGTGTGGCTCAGACCGAGGCGTCTCGTAGTGCTTGATCGCATGCTGATTCTCGGATCTCCCGCAGCCCTGGCCAGGATCACAACATTGGTTATGTGCAGCTGGTCAACAGCAACGTGTCATAAGTCACCTGGTCACTTACTCTGTGGCCGCATTTCAGGCACATCCACACAGCTGGACTTTCTCTGTCAGTTTCATCCTCCAAGATCTGCTTTTCAACAGGTTTGTCCGGCTCACAGTCCTGACACACGCTCCAATGCTCATCCAGACCGGCTTTCTTCAGTAAGCTTTGCTCTATTCCTTTACGGATGTGAGTGCAGGAAACCCCTTACAAAGCAGCAGGAGAAGTTCATGATTAAAATCACTGTCAGCAGCATCTCATTGCTCAGGG